ACCTTCATTTGCCACAAAGGACAACTGTCCTGCTGTGCTTAAAACTGTGTAGAGACACTATTGTCAGCCTCAAAACATAGGAGAACCGCAGAAAAAGGAAAATAAGAAGATTTTCACATAAGCCTGTCTCCTTTTGATACAGCCTCTAAATATCAATAGGCTAATAACTAAAAAAAATTACACAAAATGGAATCCATTATTTGAATCTATTTCAATCTGACTTCAGGCCTAGACTCATTACCCAAAGGTCTTTGTTTGTGTGGGCTGATGAACTGCACTTGAAAAATTCAATTGGGGAAGAATATCTTTGTTAGGTCTGCTGCATCTTCCATTCTTCTAAGTCAGAAGACAAGTTTGATGGGTCTGGCCTCACCTGATAAATCAGAACGATGGTGCTGGAAGATACTTCCATACTTCTCCATGTCATCCTTTATGAAGTTATTCTGTTCTGATGCTCCTTAATAGGAAGAAACTTGAAAGAAGGGCCATTAGTAAATAAGGAGCATCAAACTCTGTATCTCATGTCCACCTTCAGTTGGGGTCATTAGGGATCCAGAGGTGGATGAAGGTTAGCAAACTGAAATTAAATCTGCATAAAATGACATTAGCTGCAATTCTTGTGGTTTTATAAAACACTTCATTAAAAATAATGTTTCTATTGATAGTTGTATATAAAATCTATATAATTTAATTTCTGGGTTTTGTTTTTTTTTACACACTGGAGTCTATGTGCTCAGGAGAGCATCAGAGACATTACATGCTTTTTAGAATGCAGTGCTTAAAATGTCTGCAAATTACACCTTCAGGTTTTATAAACTGTCGTCTGCATACAAATTTCTAAAAAAGATTGTAGACAGTCATTAAGACAACAAAAGGGGAAGTTTTAGCTATGTGTTTAAACTCTTTTTTCCACAATGGTTGAACATTAGAATATTTTTCAAAGTATTTCTTTTAAATAATTTGGGATCCCAATAAAAATTGAACTGGAAAACCGACAGTATTAGACACAAAATGTGATGCCTTAGTGAATTAACAACTTAATCTATCTCTAATAGCTGCCTTAACATATTAGGAAGTGCACAATGTATGCACAATGTTAATTCCCTCTGGCAAACTTAATAAACTTGATCTGATTATATGAGAATGTAGGTTAAAGTCCAAGACAGGAATTTGAGAAAGCACCTACATACACCTGGTCAGGTGTAGGATATGACCTAGAGACAAAATGATTTTGGAAACCTATTCGTAATATTTCATGAAAAATGCTGAAACACAAAGTATAAATCTACTCAACCCTGTGATCAATGAACCAGTTAAAAATTACCAACACATTTTTGTGTGCCTTCTTGAACAAGCAATAGACAGAAAGGCTAAGAGGAATTTATATAAATTGACAATGCATATACAGTAGTATACAACTTTGTATGAAAAGTATAGTATCAGATAAGGAATATACAAATTAACACATTAGCTTAGGTCTTGTTTACACTATATTGTTTACAGCCTTATTGGATTACCTAAATTTACTAGTTTCATTGTGCTTTCAAAAAAAGCGACAGCTAGCTTAATCAGAATTGTTACCTTAACTTATCACTACTGATTGTGATCAACAATAGGTCTATAATGTGTGATACTATGTTTTGAAATTATAAAAATGTAGAAGTACAGTAACAGCACTTGCTTTTTTCCAAAAGTTTGAAAATACAGTGACAGAATATAGTTCATTCTCTCAAATGTATCATATGCCCAGAAATTGTTACACATGGATACAGATTATTAAACCTATTCAAGGTTCTTGGGAATGTAAGCCCCTTTGTCTCTTCTGTTAGAATATCTGACACAAGTGCAATAACATTGTATTTCACATAATGTACAAAAGAATATTAAGGAAAATACATGAGGACATGCAGGTATTTTACAACCATCAATGATGACATAAAATATTGTATTTTTCCCCATTTTGATCCCTTGCAGAGGAATAACAGTGATTTTAAATTTAATTACCCTTGCACAATAAGAACAATGCCAATTGCAATATACTGTCCTTAAAATTTCTAGTCTTTTGACAGAGTGAGAAAAGATTCTGTCTTGTTTTTTAGGTTCCAATATTACAAAGGAATGTGTTGTTTTGAAACTCAGGAAGTTACAGTATGTTCTAAAGAGGGTGATAAAAATTTAAGGGTAAGCAAATAATGAAACAGTATAGGGCAGTGATGGCAAACCTTTAAGAGACTGAGTGCCCAAACTGCAACCCAAAACCCACTTATGCATTGTCGAGTGTCGGGTGGGTATGGCCCATTGGCTGGGTGTGGCCAATTGGGTGGGTGTGGCTGCGGTGGTAACGGCAGACTGGGTGGGACTAAAAAGTTCAATCAATCAATTCCAACTTTGCAAGATCTTTTTTTTCCCACGAGAAGTTGAAATTGACTGATTGAACCTTTTTTTTTTTTTTTTTTGCATGTGGAGGCAGAGGCTTAAAGCGAAAAGGTTTTATAAAACCAAGCTGAAGGCTAGGACTGGGGCGACGGCGCATGTGCCCACAGAGAGGGCTCTGAGTGCTGCCTCTGGCACCCGTGCCATAGGTTCACCACCACTGGTGTAGGATATACCACAAATCTCAAGCATTCTTCAAAATAAAACTGCTGCCTTTGAAATCAACTGCAAATGGGAAAAAAATCATTTTAATTTTAGGATTAAAATTTTAAAATCCTAGAAAATATTGCAGTAAAATTGCATAATCTGTTGCACTGTTCTGTCAGTTTCCATGAGCTGGATTTGAAACAAACACCAATCTTTGAACTGTAAGAAGAAGGAAAGAGGTGCCTTACAACTGGCATTAGATAGTCTTCAAAGTAACAAGTGAACCAGTTATTCAGTAGCTAGTCTGCCCTTTGTCCATACAGTGAATATCTGCATAGAGAATGCAATCAGCTCAGTAATAGAATCAGCAGGGTAATTACTGCTTTCCTTTCACCAGCTCCAGATTAAGTTCTGTTCATTCCCATGACGTTGGGTATTTTGAAGCCTCAACTGGCATTTTTATCCCTCTGCACTTGTAAGTAAAACAAAGCTGGAATATTTTTATAATACCAAGGTATGCAAGTGGTCTGGTTTTATATGCACTTGGCTTTTGCTGCATCAAATCTTCCAGGTTTTACAGACAACAAGTTTTTTTTTTTCAGCATCCACAGCAACCTAACTGCTAAGAAATACAGAAAACTAATCAGCTAACTTTATCTTAATACTCCTGGTTAGTTTCCAGTCAATTTCACCACCCCTGCAAAAAGATTCCTGGCTTGATTTTCTCTGCTTATATAAGCAGACTGTATCAAATCCTTCCCTCGCCCCATATCCCAACTCCAGGGATCAAGCAAACTATTAGTAAAAAGCCTGGCACCATGCTATTTTTTTCCAGTACAGTATCACTATCACCGAAGGCATTTCAATAAAATCGAGAAGAGAGGATCTTCACAGCAGGCTTGCTCCTTTCTGTAAGAAGTGGTCGTGTTTGTATGTGTGTTTGTTGCTGATGATTTTGCATTGGCTAGACAGAGATATGCAACGTGTGTTATGGGGATATGTATTACTTATAATACAAAGTCTGAAAGATATGTGGGTGTGCATGATGCATTTCTGAGTGCTTCCTTCAAAAAAGCAGCCTCTTTTTCTGAGCTTTCACAATAGCCACACAACTCCAGGACAATAGATGTTTGACTAAAAGAGGTGCTGAGAGGGGTGTGAAAAGATGCTTTAGAACAGGTATATTTGAGCTTATTTAAATTCAAATGCATGTTTTTCCAGACTCAGATGTACACCAAAAGAACATAGAATGTTAGAAAGCACTCAAGAGCATGTTTGTGCTGCATATTCCTAATGTCCTGAACATAAAGAAATGAGCGAGTTTTATGACTTCAGAAGTTGTGGTTAGCTGAAAGGGTGAGACACTACCTGAGCCCAATTTTTAGAACTTTTCTTTTGGTCAACTGGAGAAAAAAAATGGAATGGCTACCAGCATTTTTTACCCATTTTCAAGCATTATGAGGCCAAAGAAAAGACAATCAAAAGCTGGTTCTTCACACTAGTTTGTTAAGAATTGCGAGGGGGGAAAGGACTGAAATATGCAATAACAATAAATAACAATAATAATAATAATAAAGTTGGAAGGGACCTTGGAGGTCTTCTAGTCCAACCCCCTGCTCAGGCAGGAAATCCTATACCATTTTAGACAAATGGTGGTTCAGTCTCTTCTTAAAAATGTCCAGTGTTAGAGCATTCACAGCTTCTGGAGGCAGGTTGTTCCACTGATTAATTGTTCTATGTATCCTATATAAGTCTCCCATATTAAGAGAGTGTATTTGTCAACATTCTTACTTCACCTGGATTATTTTAAACAACCCTGCAGCAAATCATGGGGAGAATTGTGATATGTAATGATTCCCCTCATTAGAATAAATCCTAATTGCAGCACACCAGACCTAAACCAAGTTGTAATCATTCAAGAATTGTTTCACAGTATTATGATGCTCTTGAACATCTATCCCACATCTCAGGGGTTGCCACAAAGAAGAGGGAGTCAAGCTATTCACCAAAGCACCTAAACAAGAAGCAATGGATAGAAACTAATCAAGGAGAGAAGCAACCTAGAACTAAAGAGAAATTTCCTGACAGTTAGAACAATTAACCAGTGGAACAACTTGCCTCCAGAAGTTGTGGCTGCTTCATCACTGGAAGTTTTTAAGAAGAGACTGGACAACCATTTGTCTAAAATGGTATAGGGTTTCCTGCCTGAGCAGGGTGTTAGCTAGAAGACCTCCAAGTTCCCTTCCAACTCTATTATTATTATTATTATTATTATTGTTATTATCATCAACAACAACAGCAACAACAACAATTTGGGAATACTTCCTGCCTGACAGAAGTCACCTCTATGCCATCAAATAAAGGGGAAAGCACATGCATACCCTTCATATAAATGCTCAGTTCTCAATTGTCTAACATACCTTCCATGACATATACCAGTGAGCCAACATCTCCTTCTTTGATGATGCAACTGTCTTTGCCATATTCCACTGGATACATACAATCCACAATCTCCTGGATCTGAGACAATTCCAGATTCTTCATGAAATCATTGTCGAGGATAGCTTCCTTTATTAGCTCCTTGGACCTAGAGAGAGAAAGTAAAGTTGTACTGTACAAGTTGGTTGTACCAATCAGCCTTCTTATAAAGATCATGTAGAAATGGGAGATTTAAACTTTTTTTCATAAACCCCAAATCTGAACCTAGAATAACAGGCTCAGATATTGTCCACCTTGCTCTACCTATACCAAAATAGCATTGTGCCCTCTACTGCATTGGTTTCCCAAAGTGACTGTGTAGAAGTTGACCCTATCCTGCCACCCAAGAATATAGGACAGTACAGTGATTAACGACCTTGTTAGCTATCTATACAATTCAGAAAATATAAAATTTGCAGTAATCTCACAAAGCCACCCAATATTTATTTATGAAGAAGTAGATTATTAAATCAGCATTAGTCCTTAGTAAGTGCTTGCAGTAATCAGCTCCAACCTGATGTCCTTCACAAATACTGAATTACAACAGTTATCATTGGAAGACATGTAGAAGCAGGAGAATAAACAGTGACCAAGACCAGGGGTCTGCAACCTTGACAACTTTAAGACTTGTGGACTTCAGCTCCTGGAATTGCTGACTGAGGAATTCTGGGATCTGAAGTCCACAAGTCTTAAAGTTGTCAAGGTTGTAGACCCCTGACCGAGACCATTCAAGAAACGTCCTGCTCCTTTATATATATATATATATATCCACACCATGACTAGGTGAATTGCTCTGATGGACTTGGGATGATACAACAGTCACAAAGTCTGTGGGTCAAAATTATTCTCAATGTCACATAGACAGAGAGAAGCTTCAAGCTTAATTAAAACACCTGTCTTCTAGTTGTAAATATTAAAATATAAAAGGGCAGAAGCATCAAATAATGAAAGATAAGACTGTTGGTTATTCTTGGAGTTGTTCTTGTACAGCAGGGGTCCCCAACCCCTGGTCCGTGTACTGGTACCGGGCCACGGCATGCCAGCAACCGGTCCGCAGAAACAAGCAAAACCCCATCCACAGGATGCAGGCAGTACACGAAACCATACACCCTCCGGTCCATGGAAAAATCTCTCTCCATGTAACTGGTCCCTGGTGTCCAAAAGGTTGGGGACCTCTGTTGTTCAGCATGGACTAATAATATTGTATTATCAAGGAGGAGGCACCTGCAGTCGGAGACCCAGAAGGAGGAAACAGAACCCAAGAAAAAGATCCACTGAGCAAAATGGCTAATGGAAAAGTCTATAGTTCTCAGACAGTGGGCTAGATGTCAAGGAGGATAGCTTGACAACAGCGGTGGAGTCCCACAAGCCCAGAAAAGAGTTAGTTTCCTTCTTTTTTAGGATAAAGCAAGCCAGAAATAAAACCCCAGAAAGAAACTGCAGAAGTAAGAGAAGAAAATAGAGAAGGCACTGTAAAATACTCGATTTGTAATTGTGCAGAACGGTATATGCATAGTTAGTGAAGTGGAATCTACTGTATATATTAAATACAGAATTGTGCATTAATGTCTGGAAAATTCCTGTCCACTTTTCCCACGTTTAACACACACATGTGATGCATGCTAAAAAGGCCTTTAATCATGCAGTTGCATCTATCCTATTGACTTTTTTGAGCTTCACCCCCATCTAGCAGATCCTGTCCTTTACTGGGGGAAACTTAGTATTTTTCCCATCCACTAATAATCCTTCAGTATTCTATAACAAAACAAACAAACATGAATATCCAATTTTTGAATAAAATGTTAATCACCTGGTCTTTTTTGCTATCACAAATATTTAATAATATTTAATTTAAATTTAATAATTTAATTTTAAGAAATTAGGATCACCATATATTTTTATACTTTTTAAATCATTAAGTGGATTTGTTTTTTCAATTGTGTACTTCCAATTGTTCTGTAATTTGTGGATAACCTTTTCAAAAGTCTCCATGGTTCAGTACTTTTACAAAGCATACAGGATCAGTTCTGTTGTTCTTTATAATGTCTTACAAGTTTTTAATAAAGCACCATCAACTTTTGAAGGATTATCTCCTTCTCTGAGCCAGTCAGGCACAAATATTAACAATTCTGCCTTCATTCTCATTTGCATATTGGATTTCCCCCCAGAATGTCTACCAAATCTTATTTTATCCATCTGATAATGCCCCATACATAAAGATTACAGACCGTAATTGTTTAAATACTATGTAAGGGATTTTAAGCAAACAAGCATCTGATATATGAAGTAAATTAATATTCAAATGATAATATTAGAAAAATAAATATGAAAAGATACGCTGGTCTGTTTGCAAAATGTTTACTATGGGATTCTTTTTTATATAAAAAAGTGAACAACCATCTTATCATTTCCACAGCAAATTAATATTGTCTGTGATATCAACATATTTTTGAATTATAAAATAAATGCATGTCTTCCAAAAAACAATGAAAAAGGGAACAGAATCCCCAAACTAAACAAGCAAAAATTACAGCAATCCATTGTTTTATTGCTTTAGAAATGTCATATTAAAAAAAAAATACTATCCACTCTAACTTCCTCTCCAACCAGAAATTAAAACTAATTTAATGTATTGTTCATTATGTTGTTGTTGTAATAAATAATAATATTATAGATCCTATAAAGCTCTGATTACCTCTTCTTTCTCCAGCAGCTATTAATTCTTCCCAAGAGACCTTCATCAGTATGTTGGAGAATTCTGGGAATTGAAGTCCACATTTCTTAAAGTTGTCAAAGTTGAGAAACACTAATATAACAAAACAACCAGGCTTATGCATGGAAATCACTTGATTCCCCACAGTGGCAAGTGGAAGTCATATTTGATTTCCCCAAAACCACCCATTGGGAAAATCTACAAAGCTTACTGCCTGTTGCAGATGAAACTCAAGTAGCTTCTACATAAATCCAACTAAAGAAAAAACGTCATCTACCAATTATACTAGCTGATTCTCCATTTAACACATTACTTTGTGAGAAATCCTCTTTCCTTACTATTCTTTTTCTTTCTCCTTTCTCTCTCAAAACATGTGGAGAGAGACTAAAACTCAGTGTATTTTTCCATGTGTGCCTTAGTAAAACTCAGACTCAGTTGAAGGATAACATTCATTTGAACATGAAATCTTATTCTCTTAGTAATAATAATAATAGTAATAATAATGTTGGAAGGGACCTTGGAGGTCATCTAGTCCAACCCCCTGCTCAGGCAGGAAACCATTTCAGACAAATGGCTGTTCAGTCTCTTTTTAAACACTTCCAGTGTTGGAATATTCATGACTTCTGGAGGCTGATTAATTGTTCTAACTCTCAGGAAAATTTTCCTTAGTTCTAGGTTGCTTCTCTCCTTGCTTAGTTTCCACCCGTTGCTTCTTGTCCTGCCTTCAGGCACTTTGGAAAATAGCTTGACACCCTCTTCTTTCTGGCAGCCCCTGAGATACTGGAACACTGCTATCATGTCCCCCCTCGTCCTTCTCTTCATTAAACTAGACATACCCAATTCCAGCAACCGTTCCTTATATGCTTTAGCCTCCAGTCCCCTAATCATCTTTGTTCTTGCATGACTGATGTGTAATACCTGATTCACACTTCTCCCTGTCGAAATCTAGTTCTTCATCTCGGACCACAATCCCCTGCTTATTCGAGTTATCTTCACAAATACCTTTACCTATCTCCTTAATGTCCCTATTAAGGTCAGCAAGGGCACTGTAACTGTTGTGCAGGGACACAGCGAAAGCTTTGCGTTTATGGTTCACAGCTCTCATCCTGCCAGATCCCACAGTTGTCCACACTGCCCTTCTTCTGCAGGATCTTTGTGTTAGAGGGGGCTGATAGCACGGAGGCTTACTAGAGTAGAGGGGCTGAACTGGACACCTAATTTCTGCCTGAAGAGCAGAGATTACAGACCCTAGATAGATAATCTGTCCTTGTAGGCTAGTGATTTGTTTACAATGTCACTCTGTATGTATTCAGACAATACTTGTTTTGGGGTGGAATTTTCTTTTCTTTTTATGATTCTCTAATCCCTTTATTCGATGTGGAGTCAGGGCAATTGAATGGAACTGAGCGTTTACTGGCCAGATGCCCTTCCTGATGCCTATATAGAATTGGCAGCAGATATGTTCTAGTTGCCACTGCTTAGGATTGAACTCTCAACCTTCCAGGTGGGAGGCGGGCATCTTCACCTGTAGGCCACCGTGCCACTCTCACTTGTTCTGGGGTGGAATAACAAACAGTAAAGTAGCTAATGTGCATTATGTTTGCTTCTGGATGGAGAGATCCCAGTCCTTGTGACTGCACTGTATATCTATCATTTCCTCATTTGTACATTTTCTCTGGAGAAAAGTGGAAAGCTTACAAATGATGGATAAAGAATGGAAGATGTAATTGCCTTTTGCATTTCTTAACAGGGGAAGATGATTCTGTTCAACTTAGCAAGCACTGAAGCTTTCCTTTATGTCATTTGTCTGATAGTTTTCCAGAATTAACACAAAAACATAGACTAAAAATATGGATTCTTATGGATTTTTATGATTGCTACAGAGGATTGCATGTAGCGCTATTATTTTATATGTGTTGTGAGATTTGATGATATGTTTATTGGGACTCTATACAAAAATTATGAAGATTCTAAAAAAAATCCATGCCTTGGATTGGGTTTTTTTTTGCATATAACAATACTGACAATTTCAAAGAGTTTGAGTTTATAGACTCATAAAGCTTTGATTTGATGATGGGTTGCAGAAAACTGTGTGTAAAAGGTATGGAAATCCATTTTATAAATACCATGCTATTTTCTGACTGCCTCACCAACTTTAGCCATATTTTACAAAGTTTAATCATTTAAATAGCTTTTCAATCTAAGCACTAATATTGAAGTTCTTTCCTAAATTTGTAGTAATGCCAAATCATATTTAATCCTAAATTTATCTTGATTTCACAGGTTTGTTCTTATGCTCCCTATTACTAGCAGAATTGTAAACAAACATTGGCTCTTTTTCCATATATAAATTTATTTTTTATTTTTATTATTTTTTATTTATTTTTCCATTAAAA